CGGCCTTGGTTTCGAGCTTGGTGATCACTTTCGGGCATCGATGTTCGGGACCTGTATCGGTCGATGTTACCTCGGTCGATTCGGACGCCCCGAGCTCGACGCCCCCATCTCGGAATTCGTTCGGGTTCTCCATGAAGATACCCCTTGACTGAGATGCCATCCTCGATCGATCTTCATGATCGAGGATCGGTTTTAACCGTATACAATTATGCCAAAGACTCTCGTAAAGATGGACAGACAAGTCACACATCATACAGCATTCAAAAAGAACGTGTTTTAAACTCCAGGAATCTAACGCCTTTTTGGGGCAAACTTTCAGAAGACTTAATAAAGTCATGTCGTCTGCCTCTGGAAAATTTATAGCCCCTTATTCACGCACTGGTTTGCCCCAATTGCCCTCCTCCCGACATTCTTAACAATTTTTTATCCTTATTTATAGCTGAATACTTCATTCCTTATTTTATCTACAATTTTTATTATATACTACAAAGATCAGTTGTATCCATGGACAAAGCCAACTCTTTTATTCTTTCTGTTATCTTGCAATTACTCTACTTGTTAGTGGCATGCATAGCCACAAACATAAGCACAGATCAATCAGCTCTTTTTGCCTTAAAAGACAAAGTTACTCTAAACTCTTCTCATCCCTTAACCCAAAATTGGTCTTCTCAATCTTCAGTTTGTGACTGGATTGGAGTCACTTGCGGCTCTCGCCATCATAGGGTGAGAGCACTCAATATATCAAACATGGAAATTGTTGGAACCATTCCACCACAGTTGGGAAACCTCTCGTTTCTCGTTTCTCTAGATGTGAGCAAAAATAATTTTCTTGGAGACATCCCTCAAGATTTGTCTCGTTTACGTCGATTGAAGGTGATTGATCTGGGATACAATAATTTCAGAGGAGAGATTCCAATGTGGTTCGGTTTCTTTTCTGAGCTTCAAATATTAATTCTTGATAACAACGGTTTCACTGCTATACCTCCTGCTTCTATTTCTAACCTGTCCAAGTTAGAAACTATCAGTGTTAGAAGCAATCATCTTCAAGGTAATTTTCCCAAAGATATTGGCAATCTTCAGAGTTTAAAGGAGCTGGTTTTAATCAGTAACCAACTTACTGGCGCTATTCCATACTCCATTTTCAACATCTCCTCGTTGGAGACTTTAGCTCTCACATATAATCAATTATCAGGGAGTCTTCCTGCAGATATATGCCGCGGTCTGCATAAAATCAAGAGCATTACAATAATTTCCAACCAGTTGAGTGGTCACATTCCAGCTAGTTTGTCTAACTGCACAGAACTGTATGAGTTGTCATTGTCATACAATAACTTCAATGGGATCATTCCACCAGACATTGTAAACTTGGAGAGGCTTGTGATCTTAGCCCTTGGGGGAAACAACTTGCAAGGTACGCACTTGATAGTCTCAATTTGCATTTAGAATGCTTTGTTAGCATTTATAAACACGTGATCTATAGAAAATTGTGACGTTTAATAGGAGTAGTAACATTGCATTTTAATTCAAGAAGTCGTGTTGCTCTGCCCTCATAATAATAGCCCCAGCCCTGCTCTATTTACAATCCTAGGTAGGCGATTGGACGTACATGATGTTTGGTTGGACGAACCTTCAACCTTTAAATATAACTTCGGGAAAAAATAGAATTATTTTCAAAATAACCACTATGGGAACACCTTTTTCAATACAACTAAATATCAGTCCCAAAATAGTTGGGTCAGGCTATATGTAGGGGTGGCAAAACTAATCCAAACCCATTTGACACGTCCAACCCGTCCAAGTTTTTATGGGTTTGGGCTAGAATAGTTTTGAAGATGGGCTGGTTTGGGCTAGTCCAAGTTAACCCATCTCAAATCATCAGCCCAGATGGACCCATGATGATGCACAATTTTGACCCATGGAAATGCTCTATCTTAAGAGTTATACCTAAACACATGTTATAGCTTCAATCTTTTGTTCACCATATAGATATAGAGATACATACTTGGTTGTGCTAAAAGAAAAGAAAAATCTGTAGATCTTGAATACCAGTTGTCCGGACATATTATTACCCAAAAAAAAAAAAAAATAGTTGTTTAGATATATGGTTCGTAGGTAAGATTCTATACAGAATCTTCGTCTTAGTGCAATTATTCAGTTTCTGCAAAAATTAAAAAACACTTCTGCAATAATTTTTCAATTTTCGCAAAATTTCTCTAAATGAAATTTGGTTGATTTTTTTTTTTTTTCATTTTTTTCCACCTATCTTTTGAAACAAACGTCAATTATAATCCAACAGTTAAAACAAATGCTAATAAGTAATGATACAGTTGATCAACCTTGACCGATGGATTAAGTTATGAAATTCACACTTCTCTATCAGATTTTCATCATTAATTATTTTCGATAATACCTGTTAATGATAATGTTTTGACATTGTAATTCTTTTTGTTCATTACTAATTACTCTAGGATTCTTCCACATCATTATTTACAGTGACATCTGTAGGCTTTCATCATCCTATGGTGAGAATATAGTAAAGATTTGTTTAAAAATTGAGAATATTGTAAGGATTTGGGTCAAGTTGGACGGGTTATGTTAGACCCATTATTTAGTTTATCTTGACCAAACACATCTTGACCCAAATGATCTTTAGGCATGGTTGGGCATTAGCTCATTTATTTACTCAGCTCATCTTGACCCGCCCAACTTCAGCCTATTTGACACCCCTAGCTCTATGTATCATCATTAACTATGTTAATGCATTTAAACTGATCTCACGTGGAACAACTTTTTCAATAGCTTCCTTTTTTAGATTCTATGGACTTGAACTATAAGTCTATCCTTTAGAATATGCTCTCTTCGGCTTTATTTCCGAAATTAAACCCATACTCAGCTATTTTCATTTTTTTCAAAAAAAAAAAGGATAATCACATTTTTTAACGCTGAAATTTAGATGTGGTATTTAAGAATAACTAAGAATAGTGCAACACATGCACAAATCTTATTATATAATTAGTATGAGAGAAGAGTCCTTGATTTGCAAGAAATTATGAAAAAGAAAACTACACTCTGACGAAAAGTGTAAATAGGAAAAATCAAAGGTAGCAAGGTAAAGTAAAGCTTATTCATATTCAAAAGCCTTCTAGTATGGAAGAAAAGGCTTTTGATGGGTATATATATAATTGATCTTCTTCTAGCTCTTAAAGAGTTAAGAAAAAGGCAAGTCTCGCGTCGACGTCGTCGTCGCTCGCTCGGCTTCGGCTTCAGATTTGGATTTGGTCAAAGATCCATTGATTGATTAATCTTTTTGGATAAAATTTCTTTCAATTATTTAATTAATTAATTAAATAATTAACGAAAAATTCAATCCGGAATAACCCATGACCCGCGACCCAGTTCGGTCAGGCCCGTTTTCTTTTCCGGATTATTTTAAATATATTTTTCCTGCAATATTTCAAACACCCCTTTTCAACAGCCATGGCTTTTTCTGAAAGGTTGCAAACCTTTTCAGAAACATTGCCATCAACTCTATAAATAGAGTTTGAAT